TGGGGTATCGGAAGCTGCCACACATGCTGGAAATTCTGTTCATGATTCGCTTTTGGCTGCAGAGTTTTTTCACCACAGTATCCCAGATTTGTGGTCTGCACTGTCAACGCATCAGGCTGCCCCATGTACACGCGATCTCATTTAGGTCTTGCGAACATGCACGCGAACGCCCTATATGACCTACAGCCCTAGACAAAAAACGACACTGAAGCAGCTGGCTTCTCGGATGTTGGCACTCCGGATGCCCGTGCCAGCGCAGGCGTGCTGTGTTTCAGTCATTATTGCTGAGTATCGGCGTCTTTGGTTGCATAACAGAACAGGCCTTGCGGCCAGCCGGGCACGGCAATGCAGGGCACCCAGTTTCAGATCAGGTCTCGAAAAGGGATGACTGGCAGGTAGGACAAGTGCTCATGCCATGCACATTTTGCTTAGGTCAAGCGCCCTTTGCAGATGCATTTGCGGCACAGGAAAGAAGGCCAGTGTCACCAGCCGTAGTCTAGTTTAATCAGCGTATGTGTTTCTGGCAAGCGCAGCAAATGCATTTTGTGTGTCGAATCTCGGCACCGCTGGTGTTGTGCCGCCGGACAGATATAGCGGTATGACAAGGCACAGATGCCATGAGTTATGCCAGATTCCTGCCTGAATCATTTTCCTGTGGCAGGGAAGACCAAGCAAACCATTGTAGTGAGGACCAGTTCGAGCTTCAGCCAACGTTTAGCACCGCCGCCGTCCCAGCATTTGTACGTGTCCAAAGCACAGTATCGTCCATGAAAAAAGCAATGTCATTTTTTCCTTAGGTTCGTGCGGGGGTTGTAACATTCATTGTTTACGAGCCAATCCCAAATTTTGCTCAGGATTTCAATGTGGAGGCAGGGTGCTGAGCTGATCTAGGAGTTTGGTGCAGCAATCCCTACATGATCCATAGGGGGAAACAGAATCATGTGTTCCGCTTCAGGTCTACCCTTCCTAAAGGAAACCCCGCATGAGGGGTGACTGCAGGCCTACTCTGATGATGATAACCATAGTTCCGAACAACTGGACTGTCGTCTGTTGTGCTGCGGTATCCAACATCCATTTGGCGCAAACTTGGGCAAGGAATCTCGTGTGGGCCTTGAAATTCAAGCAGGACAGGGTGATATCACATCTTCCGTAGGGTCCTGGTTGCTGGGCTTCTATACATAACGCTCCATGTGTCTTGGAGGTTCAAAATTCATGAGTATCAGTATTTGTACCAAAACGTAACCTGAGAATTACTGGGATCCCCACTGCCAGAATTGTCAAAAAATCGAGCGTCTACTTGTTCTTCTGGCCCTACCCAGGCCCCAACGCCTGGAATCCAATCTTCCGCTCAGCCCATTGAGGCCTTGGGAGACACCGATGAGGTGCCGTTTTCAAGGCACCGCGGAGTCTAGGAAGGCAGACTAGTGACTAGATGATACGAAGGTGTGTCAAGGGACGTAACTAGGACTACGCTAGGCATCCTCTTTGGACAGGTGGCCCAAACATGGGTCAATAGCTGGTGTTGGGGGATCCCAGGCCCTGGAGCGAGCTCATACACGGGGTGTATTCTTGAAGCATAGGGACTGACGGTCAAGGCATTGGCTCATAGTTTGAACCTTGAATTCGTGGATAACCGCAATTAAGATGTCGGCGCCGAGGTTACATCAGGGCTTCCAGTTGGGTTGGGCATGGGGTTGAGGTTTGATAGGTTTTGGGGGTGACATGCGTCAACACAAGCTGAAAGGTGCAGGGTGCATACTAAAACCAGACTTATTACCAACAATATTGCCCATTGTCAATTCATCAGTTACCTTCCAAAGCGGAAGCTAGATTCAGCAGATGCCATGGCTACGAAAATTCAACAAATCTTGCACTCTGCTCTTTCGAGCATGAAGGTATACCCCGAAGACCCCAAAATAGACATAGTACCTCCATCTATATGCAAAGCATGAGATTCTGATTGTAGGGATTGAGTGGAGAAACGCCAGTTTGGGTTCTGCGGGATCACGTGCGTTCTGTTTCTGTTATTCCTGACCCCTTTCGAGGCCTCCACTGACTGCAGGGAGGCTGACGTTTTCCATGCTGCAGCAGCCCTTGCGCGGATCTCCGCCGCTTGGGTAAAATCAGGTTCTGAGGACTTCAGGTTTCTTCTTGCTTGCGATAGTTGGTGTACCTGCAGCATTGCTTGTATTGGCTAGGTTAGGAAGACCAACAAGAATTGCGAGATCATCGCACTAGCAAGAGTAGTGCCAGTACTGCATCACCTAAGATGCTGCCAGCTTTACTTCTTCTATTACTATAATTAGGGCCTTGCAAGGAATGCTGTCTCCGCCAATCCGGACTGCCAGAATGTACAAACAGAATTGCTTATCTACGCAAGGGCCGCTTGTACAGGCAGAGCAAAATCCCTGTGGCTTTTTTATGGCCATGATTCCTCCTGTGAACCTCTCTGCGTCACATCTGAGGATGCGAAGCGGGAAGCTTTGGTATCTCTCGTCTGAGGACCAGGTTCTTTGGCTGGAGGAGGATAGGAGTTTCAGAAGGTGATGGGCCCCCCTTTCGAGGATCTTTCTTAAGGATCCGAGAAGCTTCGTGCGGCTCTGTGGGTAAGAAGTACGCAAGTAGTGCAGAAAGTTTTCTAGTCAGAAGAACCAGAATAGTAGTTCTTGATGCAAAACGGTGAAAAGAATTCCCTAACATCTCTGGTATGCGCCCTCGGTGAAACTCAGGACTCCTGTTGGTGTGTGCTATCCAGCGCGGAGGGATCAGGCTTTGGAGATTTGGGCTTGATGTTTGGGGCAATCAAATTGTTGCTGGTTGCTGGTATGTTTCTTGTATATGACCATAATTATTCGAGGCTATAAATTATATCCAGAAGTATGTGAGGCTAAACTGAAAGCTGTGGGAGAATTTCGAAAATGCCCCGGTGGAGACTTGAGACAGTGTTTGCTGCAATCACTTTCCGCAGTTTAAACCGCAACGTGTAGGAGATTATTTGGGATTATGGCAGAGCTACAGCCCTGGGAAGGAGCTGAGGCAGAGCCTCATGACGGGTCGCAGGGCCATAGCCAGCAGCCCTGGCAGATCGTTTGGAAGTCTTTGAAGCCCCTAGCCCCTGCCAAGAAGCTGCAATCCCAAGCCGCAAAACCCTGGACCAGTCGGAGCTCGACAACTCACGGCTGTCTTGAAGTCACTAGCAGCACAGGGCATGTGCAGACCGGTGGTGATGCTGGTCATTCGGGTTGTGCAGCACTTGAGAATGATAGCAGCTCTTCTGACTTCAATCTCACCTGTAACCATGGAACTCTAGGCTTCGCAGCAGTTTTCGGAGATAACGTGAGCTGTTCCAATCAGGTATGCACAGAAGGCGGCTTCAACGGTAACGGCTTGATAGCTGAGGCAGCAAGATCACGATAAGCTCAGCTCAGGTTGATGCGGTGAACTTCTCCTTGTACGTTAATGGCTTTTCTTTCTGGCACGAAGGCCGCGCCTCCGCACCGATGGTATAAACAATTGCTGCGCTGGTTGTTGTTGCTGCTGCTGCTGCCGCACCAGCTGCTAGCGAATCAAAATGAGTACTGTGCTGTTGTAAGGCTTCCACTTGACGTGTTCTTTTTTAAACGTGCAGCATTTGATCATTGATCAGCTGACCTCTGATGTGAAGCGCAGGTCCCAGCATGAGCTAGCTTGTAAGGAGGTACATGCTGGGACTACGTCTCTCATGAGTAGACTCTCGTTCCCTTTGCCTTTGCAGGCTCTGTAGTGGCACAAGGTGTGGCAAACTGTAACACCAGAAGGGCAAGAACTAAGACCCTAAACCATGGGGTCCCAGATCTCTCAGAAAGCGAGCATTTGTTTTGGATTGGGGTCTGACATGCAGGGCCGTTCAGGGTTGTTTTGGGGTTAGTGTGTCGTGTGCTTGGTGCCGTTTGCCGAGCAAAGGTTTGCCCCCCTTGTGAGTTTTGCCAAGCATTCTTTTGTCAATATAGTAGCTTCCATTTGCTCTTCCATAATACCCATATAACCCCAATATACTATATAGTAGCTTCCATTTTAGTTTCCATTATAACCCCAACATACTCTCTTCACCTTCAGATGCCACACAATTCAGGTTGTGAGGTTGCCATCTCCCTCTCGCCCTTCGTGCTGGTCAGGAACTGCAAGTTCCAGAACGGCCTGAGCCCCTGTTGGTCATGTATAGGTTTCTTAAGGTGGGAATTTCTGCAGTCTCTTGGTCATTTCCATATCTAATGAGGGTACTGTAAGGGTAAAGGTCTCATGAGATTGTTTTCTGGGGTAAAGATTCACACAATCTATTGCAAGCTGGCAGTGCCATCATATCCAGCCCATTCAGAGATAGGAGCAACCTCAGGCTTTCGGCATCTAGACCGCAGAGGCAGTCAAATGGCCTTGGGCAATGAAATGACCGCGGTGGTGATTGTGCTTTTTGTCGTCATGTTGAATATGATGACAGTGATGGTGGGGATGATAATGATCGTTGATGTTGTTGTTGATGATGCTGGTGGTGGTGGTGGTGATGATGATGATCGTGACGATGGCAATTGTGGAGGTGTATGACAGCCAAGCATGAAACTGCACTCTTCGGTATGAGAAGCCAGCCGTGACAATGACATCAGAAGAAGACAGTGTAGATCCACCAAGCCTTTGACAAAGGCTACAACTCCACATTGTCGGACTGGCGCTCAGCTTGCAACGTTCATGCCTTGCTGTCCCCAGTTGTTTCCAAGAGAAGCCTGTCTTGCTCATAGATGGCTTTTCAGCATAAGTCGCAATCATGATGGTTTTGCTTCATTAGCCGCAGCAGCCACAGCAGCCACAGCAGCCAGAGCAGCAGCAGCAGCAGCGGCAGCGGCAGCGGCAGCGGCAGCGGCAGCAGCAGCAGGAGGAAGTCGAAAAGCAGCTAGTACTGCCGCTTCTTCCATCTCCATGATCCGTTGCAACTCAATGCCATGCTGTCGTCAGTTTAGTTCCAGCCGCAGGATGTTAAGATCTTCAAGATCTCCTTGTTTGCGCATCTCGGCGTGAAAGTTCATTTCCTCGGTAGCTGTCCAGAGGCTGCTTGGGAAACTTCTAACCTGCTGATAAGCGGCATACCACAAATCGTGGACCTTTTTTGCATCACCTGGTCTTGCTGTGGAAGCCTTCTGCGTTCCTTGCCCCTCAGGCACAGTGCGTGCTACTACTTCGGAGTCCGAAGCACAGATGAGCGCTGGGCAGAGGACGAGCGCTCGCGCTGGGTGCTTGATGTTTCGCGAGCAGTGCGGCTTGTGACTGGGCAGCAAGGCCTTAGAATTTTCAGACTGCTTTGGACAAGAGCACGGAGGGGCAATTGTTTGCACTGGCTTTAGCGGAGATTGGCGACGTGCCATGTTGGCCATTGCCACGCAAGCCTTTTTGTTTTCGCCATGAGCAGTTCATTCTAGTGTAGGCAGGGCAATTTTGTTTCTCGGCGTCTTCAGTTCCGCCAGTCTCGGTTGCTTGAAGCGGGTGCTGCGGGTGTACAGGTCGAAGACGTCATGAAGTATTCATAACCTGTGCATGCGGCCAGGGTATCATTTCAGCAAAGCTTAGGCATGTATTGGGCGAAAGTCCTGCTGAGGTGACCCAGAGCCTTTTCCCTCCCTACTGCATCAGCTGCGAGCCACAGAAGGCGGCGAATCGGGAGGGATGCAGTCGGTATCGGAGGGAAATTCTTGGCTGACCTTCTGACCTGGCACTGCATGGTGGTGCGTCTGTAGCTTTTGCAATGCGTTCATCATGGTTTTCAGAGCTGCCGAGGGCCTATCTCTGCTCGAAAAAAAGAGATGCCACGCGGCATGGCATTGGAAGCCGTGAAGAGGGAATGTTCGCTCAGCATTCCGCTTTGCAAAGAAGGCGGAAGAGTCCCCTGCAGCAACGTCCCAACAGCACAGATCCTTTGACTCCTTATGCTTGGGTTATGCTCGCCCGATGCTTGCAAAGGGTGCCAAGCACACGGACAGCCGCTTGATGGCCGGCTACGTCGTGCATCACGATGATGCGGCTTGACCGAAGTCTGGGTTGAAGGTCCTGAGAATGAAAGTACTGGTCAAGCTTGTAAGGGGCAAAAGTCAGAGGGCTGTCATAAGTCATAATGGTAGGCGAGTCAGGGGCACATTGGTCAAATGAGTTCTTGGCAGCATCTCTGCCCGAGTTACATCAAGAACATGAGCCTTAAGATGCGCGACCTCCACGTTATCGGAGCACGGCGACCAAGAAATCTTGGAAGCATGGCCGCGCAAAGGCCATTGCCGGCGATTTCAAGCAGGATTCTGCATGTTCCGGAGGGTATCGTGAGATGAGGGTGCCATGTCTTTGCTGGCCTTCGCTGGGCGGTGGACACATGCTGTCCCTTTGTAGCAGCAGCAGTCACAGTACAGTAGTAACGGGGAACTGGCAGGCCAGTAGCTAAAACTTGCTGAGGTCTCGACAGCCTCTGTGGTATACTGCGAGCTTCACGCCCACAAGGGAGATGTGGCCCGCGTTACCATGTATGAGAACGACCTCTGCCAGGTGCTCCCCCGAGTGTTTGGGGAGAAAGGTCTTGGGTCAGGGTTTCGCAGAAGGACTCAAATTTTCCCTTCACAGTTTCCAGGAGACTTATTATTTGGACACTTTCAATCTTCAACTTCTGGATGGTGGAGACGTTCCTGACAGATGCCACGAGATACTGGGCTATCCCATCAATACAGCCTTGCGAGAAAACACAGATGTGATGCATGGGAGACGTGTAGCAACCGCAATTGCGGTAGCACTGCCAGTTGTGTTAGTAGTATTTGAAGGGGACCCAACCATCATTTCTCCATTATTACATCATATCCTAAAGCCATATGACAGTAATTGTGAGCGTCAGTTTTACTTTCTGGGCGGACCAATCTCCAAACAAAGGTCTAGGAAAGCGCGGGTCGTAATAACACCTGAGCTTTCCCTGATTGGTCGTCATCATAATAATAGTGGTGGTAGTAGTAGGCAGAGGAGGAAGCGGTAAAGGTGGAAATAGAAGAAGGATCAGCCGTACTGTATCACAGTACGAAGTTAGCGACGATCTTGTGTGAAGGTGCCTGTGGCCGAGATCTGCATACACGAGAGCGCTCTGTGTTCAGAGAAGATCGGCATCAACTGCAGCTGCTTTAGCGTGGAGGAGTGGGGGAATTTAGCCTGTTTTGGGCTTTCAGCCATTGTAGTTGTGTAGGGGCAATGTAGGGCTTAGAGATTACGGGTAAGGATCCCCGTTGAAGATCCTGCTACATATCAAGTTCATGGATCTCATGGGCTAGAAGGACAGTGCATGAATCGTTGCCTTTCGTTAGATGATTGTTGAAATGCATTTCACCAAGGCTGAAATCAGCAATCACTAACCTGACGTCGTTGAGCTCATTGTGCTCATTGTGCTCAGTGGGGCGCTTGTCCTAAGTCGTGAGCCTCTTCTCGCCAGGAGCCTATGCTTCGCCAGGTCAGTAAAGTTGACCTGTGACTCAACCCCAAGCAGCCGATTGGTTTGAAAAGATATGCGTGTCTGAGTCTAAGCTTTCTACAGGCTTTGATGATGCAACTCCATAGCGAGATATCATGGTAGCAGCCGTCCCAGGATCTTGATACGCGCATGTTGTAGAGGTTCATACTACTTGTAGTACCTGGTTTTGACAAGGCTTCAACAGGCCTTGTAAAGTTCCGTACTCAGACATGATTTCCACGGGCTCTGGCAGATCTAATGAAGTACCCCGTGTGTGACAGCGCCTCCAGAAACCAGACTTTTAGCCTTTCTTCAAAAAAAAGAGGTCAAAATTCGAGGTCCCTTTGCAATTTCTTCAAACAAGAGCCATCATTATGTTAGAGAGTTCCCATTACAGAAGCACGTGCCCTGAACCACACATCCTTGGAGGACCACCAATTCTCCTCCCGTACACTTGCAGAGCGCAAGCTATGGCTCCGGGTAGCATGCCTCAAGGTTCAGGATTGATGGTTCAGGGTTTTAGGAATCAGGGTGCTTGGTGTAGGGTTCGCGGTGACCAGGGTTTAGGGACGACGATCTCGGGTTGATGGTTATGGGTTCACGGATTAGTCTAGTTTTGATGGTTCAGGGTTTGGGGTGGGGGCAGGCTCCTCCGCGATCTGGCCTGAACATTTTTGAGGACACTTGCACTAGGTTCCAGGCGTTTCGGTGGTGCTGGCGGGGGAGTTTGATACTGAAGAGGATCCAGATCTTGGCATCAGCCAGCACCGGAAGAATTTCGGATTTGCAGGCGAGCGTGTTGGTCATCGCATTCGTTCAAAAAGTCTGTTGACATTCATTTCAACGTATCCGTCGCTTCGTTATATCCCTGCAATAAGCGGCTGTGCATTTTAGATTTCTTCAGGAGAGCTGGATTGTGGGGAAATAGCCATTAGCATCCGCGGTCTTGCCTGTTGCAAATCCTGGGCCGGCTTCTTGCAGCAGTCATCGCCAAACATCGAATGCACGTAGTGCTGCAGCTCTCGCACTTGAATCTGGATGAAATAAATGCACGAAGATGGGCGCAGCTTTGGCAAACTGTTTCAAGCCACAGGTGAAGTGAAATGAGGGATCCTCCCAAGAATCCGAAGTTATTGAGTGCGCCGGTTCCCCTTTGTATGTTCAAGAAGCTTACTTCCTCTAGCATCACAAGTACTTCGTCAAGTTCTACTCCTTGTATCTTGCCGTGTTGATGTCGGTTGCTGCTATCGATGGCTTCTTCTGGCAGGTGCAACCATTGACTGCCGAGGCTACCTGTAGGTTGCACGTGCTGCGTAGGTTACAGAAATGCTGCAAGTAGCATCACTGAGGCGATTTCAAACGTCAGGGCTCATGGCTCAGCTTTTGCAAGGCATGGACTTTAGGAAGGTTCTGGGACATGGGGGTTTCCCAAAATTAAGGGTACCTTTTTGGGGGTCCCCATAATAAGGATTGTAGTATATTGGGGTCTATATTGGGGTCCACCTATTTAGGGAAACTACCACATTGTCAGGGTTCCGACTTCAGGCGGTCACTGCCAAAAGCTAGGAATGGGGTCCCCAAACATATCAGGATTGGTATCTGTGGACCACCGAGTACCGACCAAGAGTTTGACCCGAGCCCAGGTCTGCACCAAACCGTGCAGTTTTTCATGGGGGTGTCCTGGGCTTGATTGCTTGAAGAAGCTCCGCTTTACAAGTGTGCAAGCCATCAACAACCCTCTCCAAGGGACTGCAAACTTTGCAACCACAGCGTCTTCGTGCATCAGGCTCTTAGGAGGGCCTCTGGGAAGATCAGGCTAACGTGGAAACCTGAAGGAGTAGGAATCGTATCTGCTTTGTTCAGTACAACATAGCACCGAAGCCTTTTCTGATTTCAAGCGCCAGCAAGGTCAAATTGCAGAATCGGGCACCCGACCCGACGCAGGCATCCTGCCGGTTTGGGTGCACTCCTGAAAGCTAAGCCTTGGGGTTACCTTGAGTTAACCTTGGGAGATGGGTTTGTGGGCTTCGAGATCCTGGAGAGGTTCCCCATAGTTTGCAACTTGCTGGGCAACACCTGGGGGTGAGGGGGGTGGCTGTTTTGGAATTGATAGCAAATTCGCTAGCCATGTACTGTGGCATGGGGTATTTTTGCCTGAGATTCCATCCAAGTTGTTGAATCCATTCCTGTGCAAACCGCCTGCAACCCGCAGATTTTTAGTGTCTGTCTGGCCTCGGACTGGTCTTACTTGGAGTGTTTGGGTACATACCGTTCAGCAGCTTATAAAGAATGTGCTTGTACCGGAGTTGCAGCAATTGCGATGGGGCAGGCCTCCATTGTGTCTTCTAACGACAGTACCTTGATTGCAAAGCATCGCTTTGGCAGCTCAAGATAAAATTCCATGAGTTTGCCACCGACTTGGTAATTGTAGCTTCCATCCCATGGGACGGCTCCATGCAACAAACCCTTGCAAAGCAGACGATCCTGAGACTCCCCGTGCCGCAGGAAGAGCTGGCAAGTTTTCGAACTGCCATCAAGGAGCCGCTGTCAGATGGCTCTGTCCCAGGCTGTCAAGCAAGCAAAGGCTTAGTAATGAGCCACTGTGGATGATGACAGCCCGGCTATAGCTTCGACTAGGACCCCTAAAGAGCAGTACCGCTAACAGCTACCAGGGAAACCCTCCCAGAGCCTGCTCCTGCCTCCCGCTTCGTAGGTTTCGTTTCCCTTTGGGCGCAAGTGGTGGGAAGAGCGGGGGGAGCACTGGCAGCAGGAGTAGCAGTAGCAGTAGCGGTAGCAGCCGTGGCGCAGCAGAGACGAGCGGCACTGGGAGGTACAGTTGCAGCGGCAACAGGGTTGCAGTGGTACAGAACTATTCGTTGTCGTCGTACCGACAGCAGTGATTCCCACAATCGAAATTCACTCAACAGCTTCACACTTGCCCCACTTGCCCTACTTGACTGATTCTCCTGGTACAGTCGAGCAAGGATGTCGAAGCTAGGCTTCAAGTCCGGAGTTGTGCAAGCGGACATATAGTTCAGTTCCGTCCTCTTGGGCTTGAAGGTGCTTCGCCTTGCTGTTGCTTGAGGGGGAGTGAGGGAGGGTATACAGGTACCACTTTAAAGACTTTCTAGGGATTGTTACAGGAATCGATTCCTCCACGCTCCACTACAAGTCTACAGCCGAGACCCTGAATGTGTAGGGATCCACTCCCCAACTCCTGAAGCAGCCGTAAGATAACACCCAAACTGCCCTTTTACCCCTGTAACCCTTTAACCCTGTGACCGGTAAGCCAGAGGAGCATTTGGCCACCATTAAAGCAGCCTTAGATGGGCCAGGCACCGGCCCACGCGCATGGGGTTCAAGGGAGATTTGGGTTTAGTGCAGGGCCTAGGAGGTGTTGAGGGTTTAAGGCTTCGGTTCCAGGGTTTAAGGGGTAGTGGGTGTTGCTTTCAGATGTGCCCGAGGTTGACAGCATCCTTGCCGGCGCTGGGAGTGATGGGGATCCTGCTATGCAGGCTTGCTCAAAACCCTTTTTCATAGAATCACCAACAGGACCCCATACATCAACATCGCTTACAGCCTCCGCTTACAGCCTCAAGGTACCCCTGTGTTGATACACCACCTTGTTTGGGGCGTGCAAAGGACCCAAGTTTTTGACGCACATGTCCTTCATCCCCAAATACAGCCCACTCCAACAACCTCAAAGCCCCCGTGCAGTGCCATCAAACCGTGGGCATCTTTCAGGGGGGCGTGGGTTACGACCGTCCGTCTGCCCTCTTCACAGTTAGAAGCTCCTGGCTACCCTCTTCATAATTAGAAGCTGTTGGCTTGACCCACCAGTGGCCCGAAACGGAGGCCTTGACGATCGAGGTGGCGATGCGGCCTCCATCTCAGAGCCTACTGTTGCAATCCCTTTCACTATTTACCTTGCTCTTTGTGCTTGCAGTCATTGTCATTCCGTGTCCTCAACACCCTGACTTCTACTGAAGCGCAGATTTTGTGTACAAGGGTTGGGTAAGAACAGTTTCCTGCACCCAGCATGCTCAGTCCTAAAGGAACCTATTGTATTGTCCTGTTTGGTTTAGTAGAAGTGGTATGCGAAGGGCCCTCATGCTCATGTAGTCCAGTTTTGAGCGTCGCAGTTCATGCCTACTAGATGACGGTGGCCACAACACTCTGAATCATGTCCAAGATTTGCAAGTCCCATGTCCAATTTTCTAGCAAACTTCAGTCCAAGCTTGCCAAAAAGGATTGAGGATAAACGGACCAAACCTGAGCTTGATCCAACAAGCCTTTGACCCCAACCCTATATCAAGGCTTTCTCTCATCAGAAAGCTTGCAGCCATCCACCCATTTGGAATGTCATCATGCTCACTTCTCGCACACAATGTGAAAGGTACTGCTAGCATTTTCGGCAGCGTTGGTCTGTATCAGCTATCATTCTCAACGTGATGTCATTCGCTTTCTTGGTTCCGCACGCCGCTACTGTAAGTCCGACACCCATATATTCTGAAGCTAAAGCCCGCGCAGGATGCACCTTGGGCAATGTGATTGCGGCCTTTTGCGACTCCATGAACTCGAATCCCAGACCCCAAGCTTAAGGCCTTAAACCCAAAACAGTAACATGACGTGCAGGGAGGCCACCGAACTGCGCAGCTCAGAAACAGCCAGGCGGCCAACATAGTTAGGTTTGTTGGAAGGCGCATGATCAACACAGCACAAGATTTGAATCATAAGGC